GGAAGGATTTATATTCCTTGCAGATAGCTGATCAGTAGCATTCTTTTAGATAGTCTTTGAGGTCACTTGGAAGTATCTGTGTCCTCAAGGGCACCTCAGTGGTGCAAACTGATGTGGAGCCTTCTTGGGCAGTTTTTAATTGGGTTCTTTCAATTGAAGTTTGTGCTTAAAAATGACTGGAATATTTTTACAAAGACATGTTTTTAAAAACTTTGTTTTTGAGTCTGGGAATCCTGGTGGTTGATAGATACAGCATAGATATTCTGGAACCTCTGATCAAGAGGCAAAGTTCTAGGGTTAGAAAAATGGCTCACCAAATTTTTCTCAAATTCTTGTAGAACCTTCCATCCAGTCTTGAAAATCTGAAGAAGCCACAGGGAGAAAGACCCTTGAGCACCTGACGGTTAGTGATAGGACCAACAGCTCCAAACTCTCCCCTTTTTGTCAATGGTTTTCTCTATACAGATGTGATGATAGGCATTAGCTCAGTGGTTCTCAACCTTTTTAATGCCGCGACCCCCAACCGGTCGTAAGTCGAGGACTAAACCGGTCGTAAGTCGAGGACTAAACCAGTTGTAAGTCGAGGACTACCCAACTGGTCGTAAGTCGAGGACTTTCCCTGCCCGAGAGCGCCGTGCATGCGTGGTTCTGCCCCCTGCGCCAGCCAAGGCGTAGCTGGCAAGCGGCAGAGACGGAGCAGGCCGACCACCAGCTGGCCCAGCCCAAGAGAGGTAAGGCACCTGCCGGAAAAGGGGAAAAAATGGCGGACAGCCTTGCTTGGCGACCCCCGTGAAATGGTCGATCGACCCCAAATGGGGTCACGACCCATAGGTTGAGAACCGCTGCATTAGCTGGTTTTGAAAGATCCCCATTCTGATCATAACAAAGGAAAGGGGTGGAGAGTTTACTAATCTTGACCTTCTTTTCTCCTCCAGGCCCCTCCTCATGTAAGGTTAACAGAAAAAACAGCTTGCAGACTAGAAGAGACTATGATGAAGGACACAAGTATATATTTGAATCTGCACTTAATTATTTGAACCAATGTTTTAAAAAGCACCGTGGGTTTAAAACAGAGCCCAGAGTGAGATAACTTCAGATATTTAGCCTATCCATCGACTATTTACCCATTTGCAAAGTCTTAGCCAGAGTTGAATAATGATTATAATCTATTCGGTATTTGCTGTAGTTGCAAATAGACAAATGAAAGGGTTAAGTTAAAAGAAGACTGCAAATATTTTCAGAAATACAAGAGTTTTAGACAGCAAGGCTGGCAGTTTTGGCAAACATTTTCTTAAGAAGAGGAGGACTGACTGTGTTCACATAACACATATAAGAAGCATGTGGGTTGTCTCTGCATAATACATTAGCCTAAAACATGCATGGTTAGCTTAAAAGTGTATTTGTGTGATCCCTGGCAAGACTGAGACGATGACCCCACTGCTGCGGGGTTGCCTTTCCTAACAACAAAGTACAATTTCAAAAACTCATCAAACTTCAAGCTAGGAAAGAAAGTCTGGACTTCCTCAGTGATCTTTTTAGCTGGCTGATCCCTATTCAATGTAGCATCGTGATCTTGGATGTCTGGTTTTTTTTTACCCATTCCTATGGAGTGACAAAGAGGAATGAAATTAAGGACCATGTTCTTCTCACTCCCATGTCTGTGGAAGTGTCTTCCTCTCCCATCATACAATATCCCAAATTCAGAATCAAACATGTCTGTCTTAGTTTCCAATATTCCCTTATATCCCCTCCATTGCTATTCCTTCTTTGGTGGGAGGGGAGGAGAAAAATCACTATTGTTAAAAAAAAGAAGAAAGAAAAAGAAAAGCCACAGGCACTAATTAGTGTACAAAGTGTGTAACATTTGCTTCATTGTGATAGCCTTGCCAGATTGATTTGGGTTGTTTTTTAAAACAGCTGCCACATTGCAGCTTTGATCACAATCCTTTGCAATTTGGGACAGCCCTATGTTCAAAGGACTCTTCTTTCTTCAGTCTCCTTCATCTCCTCAGCCCACTTGTCCCTTCTCCCCTGGGAAGCCACTTTCCCCGGCATTACATCGGCAACTGGCTATAAAAATGGCATAGCCTTAGTGTCAGAGTGTGGAGACCTAGAGCCTCAAATATTACCAAAGGAGGCCTCTGGCATCCCTCAGCCTCGTTTCAAGGGCAACTGGGAATGGGAGCATAGCTTCCTATTATACAATTCTACATTGAGTTATAACTAATTACCTAACCACTAAGACAAACTGCAACTTATATGTTTGATTAAAACAGTGGTTCTCAACCTTTTTAATGCCACGACCCCCAACCGGTCGTAAGTCGAGGACTAAACTGGTCGTAAGTCGAGGACTAAACTGGTCGTAAGTCGAGGACTAAACCGGTCGTAAGTCGAGGACTTTCCCTGCCCGGGAACGCCGCACATGCGTGGTTCCGCCCCCTGCACCGGCTGAGGCGTAGCTGGCAAGCGGCAGAGACAGAGCAGGCCGACCACCAGCTGGCCCAGCCCAAGGGAGGTAAGGCACCCGCCAGAAAAGGGGGAAAAAATGGCGGACAGCCTTGCTTGGCGACCCCCGTGAAATGGTCGATCGACCCCAAATGGGGTCGCCACCCATAGGTTGAGAACCGCTGGATTAAAATAAGCATATACTGTATGTCCTTCCTTCCTTTTTTCCTCCCTCCCTCCCTTTTTCTTTCCTGCCTTCTCCCTCCCTCCTTCCCTCCCTCCCTTACAAACGTGTTATATGTATATATGTCTTCTGTGACATCAATTCTATTTCAATCTAATGACTCTAGGCAGAGCAAACATTTGGTGGGGACATCCCCTATTTGGAAGTGCTTTGTCTGACATTGATTTTAATGTCCTTTTTGTCAGCAAGTTCATTCAATTCCGCAGAACTATAGAATTACCCAGAATTTTACATACATTTTGTATGTCACAGCTAGTTGGTCTTATTTATCTGCTCCAATTCAATTCAATCTTTATTACAGACATGGACCAGCACAGTTACTTGCTCTTTGAAGGGTATTGTGTTGGTTTACTGTTGTTATTATATTTTAATCATCATACTGCATTTTATTATTTCCTGTGCATACATACATGTTTGGAAAAATGCAGCCTGGGATCCTAGATCACATTATCAGACTAAACATATCATGGAAGGAACTTCCACTGTTCATTGGCAAGAGGGAACAAGCAACATTTTACTCTTTAGGTGACATGATTATAGCCATAATTCTGGTTTATATAAATATATGCATGTGGGTGGCCATATAAAAATGAGTGATAAATAAATAAAAACCATGTTTTTATGGCTCATGACAATGAAATGGGAGCTTCTGACGGGAGGCAGGAGTTATGAATACCAGTTGTTACTGAATACCATAGTATTAATAAGGAATAGAAATGTAATAATAAGGGGGAATCTATTTGAACTATTTTTGGGGTTTCTGTAAAACACATGCTTCTCCACTGTGGAACAAGAAGCTGGATTAGGATCATACAATCTGAGTGTTGGCAGGAGACACTAGACCATTAATCCCATCCCTGCTTAGCACTGAAATCCAAATTAAAACATCCCTGAAAGATGGCTATCTAACCTCCATGTGAATATATTCAATGAAGAAGATCCACCACTTTCTGAATGCTTGGTTCCACTGCAAAGTCTTCTGTAGTAACAACAACAACAAAAAATATCAGGTTGTCTTGATGTCACTCCTTGTGACTTTGATGGACAAAGACATGCAGATAAGGAAATGATCTGTCATTGCTTTCTCCCCAAGTGTATTTTTAACCCTCCCTCCCCTCCTGGCTGACCTCCCATCCCAATACTAACCCTAGTTGACCTTGCTTACCTTTCTACCACTTACTAATAGTTCAAAAGCTGCTACTTTCTTCTCTTCCACTTGTGGCTCCCAGTCTGCTCCCTATCAAATGACCAAATGATCCAACAGATATTAGATGCTTGGACTTCCATAAAATCAGAGATGATAAAGACTTTTGACAATCAGACTTGGTTTTCTCCTAGCCTTCTATTTTTTCCTTATCAGATAACAAAGGAGTGTTAACTATTGTGCTGAATGTTGTGGCATTGATCTGAATTAATCATCACACTCCTCAAGCCCATAATGGCATGTAAAATCCAGTCAGGACAATTTTTTAAAACCTTAGAAACTCTAAAAGGATATTTTAGAAATCCTTTCAGTGAGTGATGAATAAAAAGAAATAGATAGATAGCAGAGATTCAGAGTAAATAAAGCAATACATGTGGGGAAAATGTATACAGATGAATGAAAGGCAGAAAGGCAGAAAGAAGAAAGGCAGAAAGAGTGAATGAAAGAGAAAGAAAGAAAGAAAGAAAGAAAGAAAGAAAGAAAGAAAGAAAGAAAGAAAGAAAGAATTTCATACAGAAACAGATGAGACTAACTAGGAATTGGGGTTCTGATCCTCACTAACCCTTCTTTGAAAGGATGAATTTGGGTTTCTGAAATATCTGAGGTGCAATCCCACCATGTAAAGAGAAAAGTCCATCAAGGAGGGAAACACGGGGCGGCCAAACTGCTCTTTGAAGCAGGCGGTTGGATGCGCGCGATCCTGAGGAGAGCTGCTCCTCGGACCGCCTCTGGCCCGGCTGGTTTGAAAGGCGGAGAAGACGGAGGGGGCGAGGAAATGCAGAACAGCCGAGAGAGAAAGACAAACACACACACAGAGAGAGAGAGAGAGAGAGAGAGAGGGAGGGAGGGAGAGGGGAGGAGCCGGGGAGGGAATAGGGGGATTGGAAGAAGGACGCCGAGGGATAGAGAGCCAGGCGGCGACGGCAGCGAAGCGGGAGCAGCAAGGACGAAGGCGGCGCAGGGTGCGGGCGGGGCAGCGGGGATGCGGCTGCCAGCAGGCTGCAGGCGCCGCACGGTTCGGCGCAGCTGAGGGTCGGAGGCCGGAGGTTCGGTGCCGCTGCAGTGCCCTCCGTGCAGGATTCTGCCTGCGCTGAGCAGGGCTCGGGCATGAAGGCGAGTCCGGAGCCAGGGAAGCAGCAGCCGGAGCAGCAGCAGCAGGGCCAGGTGGCTGCGGCTGCGGCGGGTAAAGAGCCCGATCCGCGCTGGGCACGGGACGGCGCCAGGAGTGAGGCGACGGACGCGGAGCGGCTGCGCACCCGGGAGCGGCTGGAGGCCACGCTCGCCGGGCTGGCCGAATTGGAATTCCTGCGCCAGCGCCAGGAGCTGCGCGTCAAGCGGCTACTGGCCGCCGCGCCCTCCGCTTCCCTGGCCGGGAGCTGCTCCGGAGAAACGACGAGAGCCGTAGCAGGAGCCGGGATCGCGCCGCGCAGCTTAGAAGAGAAATTCCTGGAGGAGAACATCCTGCTTCTGCGGAGGCAGCTGGTGAGCCGAGCCGAGCCGAGCCCTGCCAGCGAGCCAAGGCGGTGGGCGCGATGCAGGGGCACAGCCAGACCAAACGGGGGAGAGGGGAGGCCGTGGGGGCTCATGGACCACATCAGCTGAGGAAGGACAGGAGGGGGCGGGGCGGGAACCCGGCTTTGGGTTTTATTTTACCCCAATTCCGTACCGCTTGAAACAACGTGGGAAGCGTGTCTCTGAGCGTGTACAAAGCGTCTAGGTAGATGCGTGTGCCTCTGCGCAGAAAGGAATTAGTTACCGTGGCTACATGAAATTCGGCCACTACTTCTTCGGGGTGTTTCCCATTTCTCGTTAGGGGAAAAGGTTTCTGTTTAGCCTTAGTTGCGCCAGGCCGTTTGCTGTGCGTATGAGAAACATGGCAGGGTCGGTGGGAAGAAGAGGGTTTGAAAAATGAGGGTCATTGCCTGGGTGGAGGCGGAGGTTTTAAGATCTGCCAGGACCCCCCCCCCAAGGTAAAGATACTCCAAGCTGTTAACAGTGGATCTTCCTCCCTGCCCTTCATATCCAGCAGTTTGAGTTTTGGGCCTTGGCGGAGACAAGAGGGCTGCTGGAAAGTGCAGCCTTTTCTGCTGTATCCTAGGATGAAGACCCGGAGAGGCACCAGCTTCCTCATTCCCTCTTCCCCTGAAGAAGAACCTTAGCAAAAACGAGGATGCCAGGGTGTCAGATGGAAGGAATGGTGATGCCAACTCATTTGTGAAATGGATGCCTTTGCTTATGCACGAGGTGCTGAAAGTACCTTGAAGGTCTCCTTAGACTCAAGGTCTGTGGCAGACAGACTGTAGGGAGGGAGGGTCTCCAGTGGAGCATTAAGAGGTCAGAGAGGGACCCCTGAAGTCCCCACCCTTGGAAATACGGAAGCCGCCTCCTGTATATTTTGGTGGGAGCCCAGAAGAGAAAAGCCAGGAACTTTTAAGCAGTATATTGAAAGGTGGTTTCTCTGTTCCTAAAACATCACAGTTCCAAGACTGGATGTATAGAATATTAAGAAGAACCAAATTCTGTGTGGCCACCTTCCATTACTTTAATGATGGTCTCTTCTGAGCAGGATAGCTGGCCTCCTCCTTCCAGCCTTCTGCATCAGTGCCTGCCCTTGGCCCATCCTCTTTTTGCTAACAATAGCTGCCATACCTGTAGTATATGGTGATTAATTACTGCAGCTCCAAATGAGCGGCTTTTTGTCATCCCACTGCACTGAATGGGACCAGTGGGAATAACCTCCTTGCCCTTTAGGCTTTGGTGCTGCAGCTAGCTCAGTTTTTCCATTCGTTTACATATATGGGTGTGTGCATGTGTAAAGGCTGAGGAGGAGCCTCACAGGAGTCTGGTTGGGCATCAAGTTGCATATTAGATTGGCTGCTGAAGGGAATCAATTCACCTCCTGCAGATGCTGTTAATGTTGTTGATGTTGGCAGTCGACAAAAGCCGGTGTTGGACCGGGAAGAAAGCATTTATCTTATTGAGTTCCTGTCAGTGCTGCGGGAGCATATGTGGGATGCTTGCATTAATATTGTAGTGCAGCAGGAGGAAAGGACTTAAACGAATCCAGCCATCAGCTGAGTTCCATTGTTACTCTGCAAAATGGGTGCAAATGTACTTGACTTAAGCCACTGGAGATAATGGATGCTGTCCCTCCCCAGGAAACACCTTTGCTGCAAAAATCCTATAGAAATGAATAGGTGAGGTACTGAAAGTCAATAAAGAGTGCTCATTGCAGCACATTTAACACAGAGGCTACAAAGAGCTTGAAGGGGGAAAAAAAATCAAAATTGAATGCTTATTTGCTCAACTGGAATCTCATCCTAGTTCCTAGAGTGGAACAGTAGGAAAAGACCAGGCTGAGCTGGAAGGCGGGGTTAAACATGTCATCAGTTGGAGTCATTGTGGTGTCATAAGAGACCCAAATCCAGCTCTTATGAATTCCATTGACCCATAATCCATAATCAAAAAGGATTGTTAGAACTACAGTCTTGGGGCTGTTGCTTAAGCAGCCAATAAAAAGTGGTTGTGCCTGTGGTTTTTGTGCCACAAAGATCTGAATTCTCTGGCGAGGTGAGGTTTCGGTGCCAGCAAAACTCATTTCTGGAGAGTCAGTGAGGCAAAAACCAGAAAATAGAGGAAATGTTGCAGATGATACAAAGCTGACTTTGAACCTGATATTAAGGGTTGAGAGGATATGCGAAATTTAACACTTCCAAGAAACTTCCAGGAAATGGGGAAAAGACAATGTAGTAGAAAACTTGTTAGAAGCCCCCAAAATGTGTGATTTGGGAAATTCAGTGTTTACTATTCACCCTGATTTTTTTGGTCCTTATTTCTCTCCCTGGAAGAAGCCAGTGGCAATTCCCTTGAGTCTTCTTGTCAAATAGATTCTGGATGTGTCCATGATGTCACCACAGGAATCAAGCTCAATGTGAAGGAAATTTTATCCCCCTCCAGCACAATTGCCAACAGACACCATCATTTGCATATCGGTCCTTTTAGAGATAAGAAGAACCTCATTTTGTGCTTTAGGATTTTGGTGGATTTGGTGCCAGTCAACTGCAATAGCTTTCCCTTCCCACACAAAAGTCGCATTTGAAATATCCCAACAGATCTGTTCCTGGGGCATTTGGGACTTTGGAAATATTCCATCTTTTCTTACAACCTTTACCAATTGGCATCCAAGGAATGGAATTAGAATTCAGAAACTAAATGAGGCTAGGACCAAAATGATGTTTAATTTGTGTGTCAAAGAGAGCAGGCATGAATGTGATTCAGCTTATGTTTTACTGTCTGAGCCAGAAGCAGGAATACAAAAAGGTTATTTGCATGTTAATCATTCTAGCCATTCTCACCTATTAATATCCTCAGGAAAGAGATCAAAACAGGGAAGTAATTTGTTATAGTAAGAGGGTATTGGCTCCGAAATGGAAAGATAATTCTTCCCCCCTTTCTTACTTTGAGACCAATAGCTGTGGGATTTGCATACATAAAGCTGGACCATAGCTGATTCAATATATTTCACTAAGTCATAGACTATGATTTGTAAATGACAGTATCAGTGGCAAACATGATGCTTAATTAAAAACTGAAGTGAATCCAGCTATAATACAAGTTGTATCTTTGTTTTAAGGAATGCAAAAGCTATTTTCATTCCATGGTCCATATTTAGCCTCTAGATAACATGTTGAAGACCTACTCCAGAGACTGAATGTGGGGTTTGATTTAATAGCAATGTAATTAATATTAAATAATGAAAAAATGATTAAAATTAATTAATGCACATGATTACTATCAATTCTCATCTGCAATATTATAAACTCTTACGGAGTCTCTGCTTCAAGGACAGTGTGGCAAACTGAAAAATGTCCAGAGGAAGTAACCAAAGAAGGTGAGCAGCCTAGCCACCAAGTAGCAGAAGGAACAGTTTTGCAGGAACTGAGTATATTAAGCCAAGAAATCTGATTATTTGAAGAGTTGTTAATGTACCAATGAAACAAAACTATTACACAGAAGATAGGAACCTAATTAGTGCTTCCAAGTAAAATAACATTTAAAAACTTCATAATAGTTTTAGTTATTTAGCGGAGGAACAGATTTTCTCAAAAAAGTAGCAAATTCCCTTTTCACAAATTTTCATGCAAAGTTTGAGTAGTCATCTATCAAGAATGCAATCATAGCAAAAGACTTTTGGAAAATCTCCCTACTATGCAACCTAATTTGCTGCCAACCCCTGCTTTACTGAATTAACTGTAACTGAGTTCCGACAAGATGCAATTCAGAGTGCTGGTTCTGACCCAGAAGTTCCTACATGGTCTGACCCCAAAGTACCTTAAAGCACAGGTCCTCAACCTTTTGGGTACCAGGGACCGGTTCCCTGAAGAGAGGTTTTTCCGCGGACTGGAGAGTGCGTGGTTTTTGTGTGCTGCCTGCATCTCGCGGATGGGGCTTTGCTTGTGCGGCCCGGTTGCTGGCATGCCGCGGACCGGTACTGGTCCATGGACCGGGGGTTGGAGACCCCTGCCTTAAAGAACATTTATTTCAATTAGTGCTGGGGCCTGACTGAGAACTTGTCTGGAGAAGCTGCTTGTGGTCCTCCAGTTTTGTGAGGTGAAGGGGGCTAAGCCATAAAATTCCATTTTCCAATCATGGCATCCACACTCTGGAAAAACCTTATTCTGGAAGATAGGTTGCCCCCCACTTGGTGATGTTTACCAGAACTTAATGAAGAATGAACTCTTCCCAAAAAGTGACTGAAAACAGATTTTATTACTTAATTAATTAGTTCGTTGGTATTGTGTATTATTTAGTTTAGTTTTATTTCGGATTTTCTGTTTTTGTAGTGGTTTTATGGTATTCATAGTGTGTAAGCTTTGTGTACTGTAAATAGTAATTCAATAGTACACACATTCAATAAATAAATATATATATAGCTTGCTAAACCGTAAACCATAGTTTATAAATCACAGTGGCTGAATGCAGACATTATTTTGCTAAATGGGATTAGTTTAAGCAAGGTTAGGGTTAGGGTTATAGATGCTACTGATCTATAAAGGTGTGCAAAATAGCGTTAGTTCTTAATGAGACTGCATCAGAATAAATAGAGTTGGAATAGACCTTGGAGGTCTTCTAGTTCAAGCAGGAGACCCTATACCAGGGGTAGGCAACCTCGGCTCTTTTATGACTCAGGAATTCTGGGAGTTGAAGTCCATGAGTCATAAAAGAGCCGAGGTTGCCTACCCCTGCCCTATACCATTCCAAACAAATGGTTGTCCAGACAGTTCTGAAGGCAAGCCATGAATTGTTCTGTCAGGAAATTTCTCTATTTCTAGGTTAGTTCTCTCCTTGATTAGTTTCCATCCATTACTTCTTGTTCTGCCTTCAGATGCTATAGAGAACAGGTTCACCCCTTCTTCTTTATGGCAGACCCTCAACTATTGGAACACTGTATCATATCACTCCTAGTCCTTCTTTCACTAGAT